AGGGTTTCACCATGTTGGCCAGGCTAGTCTCGAACCCCTGACCTTGTGATCTTCCCGCCTCAGACTCCCAAAATATGGTCTCTTTTAGACTTCATAATTAGGCCTCATCAGAACTGTCTGTGGCTGCCACAGCTAGAGGAACCAATCTGGAGCTCCCAGACAAGTTCTCTGGACTGCTGTTACTTCCTTGAGGCCTTGAGGAGAGTCCTAACTGTGAAGTAGGCTGTGTTTCTCTTTACCCTAATCCCTTTGAACTCATAATACAAAGACTCAAGGCACACTTAGGGCTTGGGAGTCACAACATAGGATAGGAAAACTATGAACTATGCTTCTCAGGGCTGACTTCCGTCAAATAGGAAACCACATACATAAAAAAACACTTTCCATAGGAGTGTTTTAGTGCTCAGGGATACCCCCTCTCCTCTCCTGCAGGTCCCCTGCCCCCAGAAAGCACCTCCACACTGAATCATCCTTTCTCCTACCTTATTCTGGGATATTTATCCTAGAGCCTTGTTAAATCTCCCTATTGCAGTATTTGATGTTTTGGGAGAAGCCTTGTTCTCTTGATGTCTTATTTTTCATCTGCTCCCTAGGGAAACCTCCTGATCTGTACTCCTCATCTGCCCAGTGCTGCCATTTCTCATGGGTCCTGTGCTTGGTAGTCTTGCATGTTCATCTTTGCATCTCGGTAGTCTTTGCAGCTCTTCTGGGTTGTGTACCTTATAATAATGTGAGTGGAACCACCTTGACTCCCTTCTGCTCTATCTGAGCAATGGCTGGGTCTTCTTTTTTAGAACCTGAGCTTGAGGTGTGGCCTCAGGAAATGGAAAGGGTACAGAGGCAGTAGGAATGTGCCATCTCTTCTTACCAATCCCATATTTTCCCACCAGTCCACCTAATTCCCTGTTCCTTGCTGTATCTGACCCCCTGGAAGGGCTTCCCTTGAATTACCAGCCTTCACCCCCACTTCAAGGCAAACACACCCTTCCACAGAGGATCTGGGTGGGTCAATGTGATATCCCCTGACTTGTGGCCCTTCTTTGGGCAGGTTCATGTGTACTTTTGGTTAATGTCTTTGAAGAGATCCAAGTGGCTCCTAAGACATACTTATCCTCCTCTTCCTCAGCCTGTTTTCAGGAGGTCACACTTTCTCATTAGAAAGCTGGGGCAGTGAAAAAAAGAAGAGGAAACCCTCTACCCGGTCCCACCTTTGCTGTCATTCCTCACCCCTCCAAATCAAACCTAACCAGGCCTCCAGGGCATGCCAGGTCATTTCCTTCACATTGTGGGAGATGTACAGAATCTCAATGATCTCTTTCAGTTTGTCTACACTTAACCATATGTAGCAGGTCTCAGAGTTCTAGCATGGAGTTTGGCCACACTCTTGCTTCAATAAGTTGTCTTCTATATAATGAGCTATTTTTTGCTTTTTTCCAAGAGTTCCAAGGAGTTAGGCAAATGAGCACTTATTCCACTTCTTTCCGAGAAGTTCTTCAACTGCTATATATTTTAAATAGTGAAAAGATAAAGATAAAATATGTCAGAAGGTTAAGAGGAACATATATTTTTTTAAAATTAGAAAGTTAGGACTAGAAAAGATAAATGAGTAAATGGATGAAAACAGTGATGAGACAAAATCTGAACAGTTTCTGAAGTCAAAGAATTAGATGAAAGTGTAAAGAAAGAACTCTAAGAGTAAAGTATGGCAAAAAGATAAATGAGAGAAAAGATTTAAAATAGCTAGCATTCTAAATTTTTAATAAAGTCTTAAAGGGATAGGAAAGAATATGCTAAGACAAATCATTTTAATATTTAAAGATTTAAAAGCTAAAAGAATGTAAACAATGTATAAGGTTATCTCATTCCGTAATCTTCCAAATGAAGGATGCATGTATATTTACTGATGTAGAAAGATGTATAAGACCTCTAGTTTAGGTAGAAAAGCAAGCCACAGAACATTGTATAGTCCAAGCATATATGTTGCATAAAAGTTTGCAGATAGACAAAAGAGTAGTAGGAAGCCAAACTGCTAATGAAGAGGAAAGGGAGTGGGGTCAGGGGGTGTCATGGACATCGTTAGTCAGTTCCCTTAGATGCCCTCAGGTCCCTTTACCATTCTGTGCTCTTTTTCCTGTCTCCAGTTCCATGCACCTCCAAGCACTCACAATGGGGACTCGTGGGCAAACTGCCCTTGCACCCCTGCACCCCACATATGTAGAGAGCTTGAAGGACATGGGCCTGTACATCAACCCACTCTTACTCCCACCCTGTGGCCCTCAGCCAGTGACTGAGGCTGCAGGAAATGAAAGCCTTGCTCCTAGTCTCAGGTGGGGACAACTCTGAGGTGTCAGTTACCTTGAGCAGCAGTGCCCCAAATATAAAGCAAGCCACATATGTGATTTTACATTTTCTAGTAGCCACATTAAAATTCATTTTAATAATGGGCTGGATATGGCATTCATGCCTGTAATCCCAATACTTTGGGAAGTCGAGGTAGGAGGATCACTTGAGCTGAGGAATTTGAGACCACTGTGGGCAACATAGGGAGACCCCTGTCTATACAAATAATATTTTAAAAAATTAGCCAGGTGTGATGGTGCACACCTGTGTTCCCAGCTACTCAGGAGGTTGAAGCAGGAGTATCTCCTGACCCTGGGAAGTCAAAGCTATAGTGAGTTATGATCATGCTAATGCACTCCACCCTGGGTGGCAGAGTGAGAGCCTATCTCAAAAAAAAAATTTTTTTTTTAATTAAAAAACATAATTCTAGATCAGGCACGATGGCTCACGCCTGTAATCCCAGCACTTGGGAGGCCGAGGTGGGCTGATAACAAGGTCAGGAGTTCGAGACCATCCTGACCAACATGGTGAAACTCCATCTCTACTAAGAATACAAAAATTAGCTGGGCGTGGTGACACGTGCCTGTGATACCAGCTACTCACGAGGCTGAGGCAGGAGAATCACTTGAACCCAGGAGGCAGAGGTTGCAGTGAGCAGAGATTGTGCCACGGCACTCCACCCTGGGTGACAAAGGGAGACTCCATCTCAAAAAAGAAAAAAAAATCATTCTAACAATGTATTTTTATCATTCAACATGTAATCAGTGTGAAACGTTACTGAGATGTTTTAAATCCATTTTTATTTGTAGTAAGTCTTCAAAACCCAGTGTGTATGTTACTTCACTTTGGATGCCTCCATTTCAGTTGCTCAGTAGTGGCTACCCAGTTGAAGAGCACAGCATCAGGCACATTGAAGCTGTCCCTCCATAGAGCTCTACCTGAAACTCAAGTCTCACTGGGTTTCTTCTTGTTCCCTGTCCTGCTTCCTATACTCCCTTATCAGTATCTTTTGAGAGTACCACTTAATAAATCTTCTGCATACAATATTATCTTTGTAATTAAAATGAATCTGGAAGATTCAAAAGAAAGAAAAAAGAAAATGTCTTATCCTGAAGCCCAGATTTGTTATTGTATCACTAAGGCAACCTTAAACTCTAGTGACATTGGGTTTTAGAAAACTTGGGGTTCCTTTGGGTAAAGAACAATTGATAACACAGCAGAACCCTGATTTCTTGCCCTTTGTCCTAAGTGGGAGACTTAAGCCTTTGATGTCTATCTAGTTACTGCCAAGATTAGCGGC